AAAGATATATGTAATAGTAGATATGTTGTGATCAAATGTCCTCTAATTGGAAAGAAGAGGAGCAGTCTGATGTAATAAAAGAATTTCCCAGAAGACAAGCAAAAATATGCATTTAGCATTACGAGTAGACATCTTGAAAGTTACGTTAAGAATGGAGTTCTGTTTTTTTGTTGCATGAAAAGCATAGAAGAGCATTACAGAAAAATAATTCTTGGTATGTTTATTAGAAAATAAATCGGCAAATAAGAAATAGTAGAGTATGTAAGTGCCGAATTCAATGGTTCTTATAGTTCATCAACTCCCATAGATTCAGTTCTCAAGTGTTTCATTATTTTATTCTTTATGCATATAAAATTCTTCTATGAGATAATAAGAAAGCATCATCGTAGTTACGAATATTATAGTACCTAACTTAACGTATAGTACAAAGAATTTGCCGTAATTTATTTGTTCGATATCTCAGTATAAGAATATTGTAGAGAGCCAATTTTGATAGTTAGATGACAGTCTATGATCTCTAGTATATACTTTGCTTACAATGTATTTTAGTTGTACTTATCAGATTTACGTTATACACTAATTACGTTGACTGGTCAAAAATTACTTTCACAACAAAAAAATATACATGAATTTTCAACTGATCATATGAGATAAGAAAGTTTCCCATAAGCAATCTTATTGTATAGATTGACAGCCTATTACAAATATTGTCAACTTTTTTTTATCTGATTTGTTTGGCAAAACATTAATCATCTTACCCATGTAGACTGAGAAATATTCAAAATATTTTTTTTTAATATACAGTAGACAACTCGAATAATCTTCCATAAAACCATGTTTACACGCTGTTATTCAAACATAAGCCGATCAAATTTTTGATAATTAGTTACGATGACAAATATTGTCATCTTAAAATTAATGATTTTGACGTTTTAAAATATTCTATTAATCTTAATCAACTACAAAACTGAATGTTCCGTTTTTAAGGCGCAGTTGATAATAGAGATGTGCAATTTCAATTTACTGATCATTGCCTAATTGTAGTTAGTGTATACTGACCCTATTATCCACTGAAACATATCGTTACAAAAAGGAGATATTAATCATAAAGTTAGTGTCTCAATATTGCAGCGAATAGAAATGCCAATATAATCAATACCACAGTGGACACTGTATCCAGGATTAACGGCAACTATTTCAGTATTTACATCAATATTGTACATTCCTAACAGACACAATTTTCCATGGGCTATTTACCCATATATTTGAGTTTCAATTTGTCTCCTATTAGAGAAAACAATAGTAACATATGTTTTATAGAACTTTATGGAAAAGTTTTTTACACGTTAAAAATATTTTAAATATGAAAGTATCTTAATACATTAAAACAAATTTCTTAGAAGAAATCATTGATAATCTTTCACAGAAAAAAAAATGCCAGCATTGGCTCTCTACTATGTTCATATATAGAAATGCGAACGACATAGGATTCATGTAAAACTTTCTTCATATATATTATGAGTATTCTTTTTAAGAATCAAATATCGTTTATGGTAAAAGAGAACGAAGTCCTAGTTAGATTATATCATATTATAGCTGTATTGTACAATATAAAATACCAATCATTTATAATGATAATAGAAGAAAGAAGCTGATATAATATTCTTGAAAGGAAAACAAAACAAAAATGCGTTAATTAGAAAAAATAATACACAAGAAAAACTATAGACAGCAGTCTGATACAATAACTTGAATACCTTCAGTCTATGTCAATCAAGTAAATTATTTTTCGTCAATGACTAGGGGAACTTTCTAAATTTGCATTCATGACAATAACATCAAGATATGTTATTTTTACCAAACATCATTAGCTTCAAAAAAGATCTATAGACTTCTGAAACAATTTTGACATTCATCAAATAAACAAATGAGAATATGGTATTCTAATTCATTTGATTTTATCTAAAGTCAATCACGCTAGAAATATCAGTGATGTTTTGGATAAGCCATCTTGAATGAATGAAAATTTACTATCCGATAACAAGTTTTAGAAAATATTAAGCATAAGATATATTTTTGACATCCATAAGCAGCTATAGTTCTTGAGGCTAATACTTTTAATTATAAACAGTATTTTTTGTTTTTGACAATATTTTTATGAATAGAAACTTAGAACAAACCTGTTTCACTAATAAAATACCTAGCCTATTGATTTACCTAAAGTAGAGATATTAACAATTTATATGATCTTATTATGTATAATCTCTCCTATATGTCATTTCAAATAGACCAATCAATAATTCATTGCAAGAGGAAAGTAATATAATATTAATATATGAATATCGGTTTTTTCTTTGCCTATTCATCAATATATTGTCTGTCACATTATATTCATAATGACGAATATAAAGTATCAGTTGAAATAATATAGAATATTTCGAATGTTAGAAAAGCGCAAATAAAACAGTACACAATATCTATTTTACTACATTAATTAAAATGAGATCTTTTAATTTATACTAATTGATTTACATTGTTTTAATATAAAATAGTCTCATAATAAACTTGAGTATGTGATTTTCTTTTTAACCATTAGTGTAAAGAAGAGATTATTTTAGACAAAGAAACAAGAAAAATGAAGATCTATTCTGATTTCCTTTATTTTTGTTATTATCGTAAATACATAAAAAAGAATTGATTTGATTAGATTTTTATTTTATCGTCTATACCACTAATGTAATAATAAACAAATCAAACTAACTTAAGAATAATAGATATTCTCTTGAATACAATTAAATGAAAACAAAAAAAAGATTTTAAAAAAATGTATTTATATTGATCGGTATTTATAATGAAAATTATTCTATGATCGACTTTAATAAATGCATAGGAGTTTTTATTTTTAGATATATATGGATTGTATATTTGTATTGTCAAGAGATTTGCTTGTCTGTTGTATTGATGAAATTTAGTCAGCCAAGCTGTCATAATTTTTATATAGTCAAATATATTGTTTTTCTTTCATCAACATTATATCAATTATTATCCCAAAAGATGTAAAAAGATAATAAAAAAGTGAGATATATTATTGTTTTTTTCTTCTTATGTTTAGTATTTAGATGCCACTATAATAATGCAAGAGAAATAAAGAATAGTTTTTAGAATTTTATAACATATATGAACGTTAGTATAAATGTTTACAGAGTCAGAAGATAAAAAGCATGCATATTGATTCGTTATGTTTCATATTGATGCCATCCTCGCAGTTGGATTCCTAATGTCAGATACTATGAATGATTCTGGAGATAAGAAATACTTTGAACTTTCTACAATTATGACTTTATTTTCCTTAAATTTCCGGCATTTCCTTGATATGTGATAAACAAAGAAGATTAATATGACATGAAAAACACTTCCAACAATTTTATTAAATTAAGTTCCGGCTCTTCTCCTTTTTTTTCTTTCAAACAGCAATTTCAAACTAATGATGATTGAATAGATCCTACACTGAAAAAGATAATCAGAGACAGATAAGAAAACAAACCAGACATGAGGCCCTAAAGAAAATAAACAAATGTAATCAGTATATGTGCAAACCGGTGTTGACACCATTTGGTGGGCGTTATTTGTCCCCTCAACTACGAAACATGACTGCTATACAAGACATTCACTTGTCAATGCTATTCTTTATTTATCTTTTCCTATCATGCGTATGTCATTCTATTGATATGTAGGGACTTAAGTATTGACAGATGAGACAGAAAATTTGCTATAACATCGAGAATTTGTTTTTTTTTCGAAAAAATAATATATCTTGACAATGCGTAATAACTGTCAATTACCGATCCACCAAACTCATGATAGATCGTGATTCATTTTCTATTTTGAATTATATGATGAAAGCTGACAACTCTTTCCGTCGCTTCTTTTTTTCTTTTTTTATCTTCAGCCATATAATCGTGTGTCATTGTACTAGTTATAGAAATTATTCTTGAGAGAAACATTTTTTATATATTAATGTCACAACAAAAGTTATTAAATTGATATAGGTCTTGAATGATGTTTATTTATTGAAAAAAGTTATAAATGACATGTTTTATCTTCAGCTGTACATTTTCTATATATGGTTATTCATATTCGTTTGTTATTAATGTTTTCTTTTAAAGAGACTCATAAAATATACGGATAATGTCTAGTTTTTGTTGTTATCTTTTCGATTCATATAGAAAAACACAAATTATTTTCAGCATACCTTCCACTGTCACAACAATAAAAGCAAAAGAAAAATTAAATTATAACTTGACTTAAAAATCTTTTAATTTAATAACATTTTTTTTTTAATATTATCAGTCGATGTCGCATTTGTCAAAGAAGATAAATGTTATCTTTTTGATTTACAATAATGCAAATCCATCAAATTTTTTATTGCATCTATTGAAATGATGCGTCAAAATTTTCATGTTTGATTCATTATCTTGAGTATATTTTGACTACACTCTCTTTTCTATCTTTTTTTGTTCTTCGTGACTTGAGTATTTCCATTCGTTGATATTAGATGGATGCCTGTATATAATCATCCGATCATAATATCCAAGAGAGAGACAGAGAGGAAGATCAAGTTGTTTTTTATAGCAAGATTTTCTGAAGGTCCTAACTAAAAAAGTAAGAATAGAGAAGAAAAAAGAAAAAAAAAATAATAAAGCTATTTTTCTAACTAAATCCGTTTTGTTTTTGACGTATGAAAAACAAGAAAATTTCTACTCTAAAAAGTAACTGTTTTCAGCTTTTTATCCTCAAATAAGAAGACCTTTTTTTCTGGATAGCTATTTCTCCTTTTCTTCTTTTTTTTTTCTTTGCACCATTTCACTTACGTTGTTGCTGTCAATCAGGAAACAAATTTCTTGACACACTGTTTCATATAATAGGAGATACCCGATAGGTCGTTTTCCCTGGTCGTTGATTACAAAAAAAAATCATGCTGTTCATCACGTTAGATTAGCATGCTAATTCACAGTAGTAATACTCATTTATTATTATCAAATGAAATGTGCAAGAGTCGACAAGTAAAAGAGTTATAAGGAGATGACAGATCGCTCTTTCGCTTTCCGTAAGAAACGTCGAGATATAAAACATAAGTTTTTTTTTTAGAGTATATAATTTGTATATGACGCAGCTCAGATTGACATTAAACAAATAATTAATAATCGTATTTATGCTTCAACTATGAACAATCTTACAATTATTAATAATAACAATAATATCAACATTAGTGAGCATGATGATAGCAATGGTCCATCATTGCATACGCAATATATTTTTGCTGGTGCTTGGATTTTGATTGCTGTGGCTGGCATCATAGGTAAAAAGTACTTTTCCTATTTTAAATTCAATATATTTACTTTTGTTGTATGTACTTTATTAGGTAATAGTTTAGTTATATTTATAGCTATTCGATTTGAAAAATTGAGCAATGTTACAAATTGTTTCATTGTTAATTGTAAGTTATAACACATTTGATTCAAATTGATTGAAAGTTGAATAATATATTGTTTTATTTATTGTTCTAGTGGCTATTACTGATATTGTTTTCCTAGTATTTTGTATGCCACTTCTAGTCGTTCAATACACACTTGATCATTGGTAAACGAATGAATTTAAAAAAAAGGAAACTTGTCTGTTTAATTAATTTTTTTTATTAGGTATTTTAATGAAACGTTTTGTAAACTTCTCCATTTTACTTCGTTTCTCAGTGTTCTTGTTACTGTTCTTACATTAGTTATAATGACTATTGATCGATATATTTATATTGCACATCCTTTTGAAAATATAAAATGGCGAAAACCAAAAACAGTCTTTTTACTTAGTTTAATTATATGGTTACGTGAGTAAAAATAGTTCCTTTTTTTCACACATTATATAATTCTTTTAATACAATTATTTCCTTTTTTTAATGATATATATTCTTCATTGATCATTAGAAAAATGACATTTTCTTTTTAGTTTCATGCGCATTTGCTTCACCATTCTATTTTCATTATGGTGTTTCAAATGAAGTTTATAAACAATGTCAATTATTAACAGATGACCATGTACAAAAACAACTTCGAATATATACGATTACACTTTATTACTTTATTCCATTAACAATTATTCTTATTTGTTATGCTCGATTACTTTATTATGTTTATTCAAAAGAAAATAAATGTAAACCAAAAACGGTATAAGTGAAATTTCTTGGTGTTGTTGTTTTTGTTAAAAAGTTCATTTTGGATTTTTTTCTAATAGAAATCTAATCATGTTAAATGGTCAAAACGACGTCGTGCTGTAACAAAAATGGTGGCCATTGTAACACTTGTATTTTCACTTTGTTGGTTACCTCTTACAGTATTTATGCTGTCAGCAAATTTCCTTAGCAGTAGAACAGCTTTTTTATATTATTTTAAAATGATTGCAAATTCATTTGCTTATTTAAATTCAGCTGTAAATCCAATATTATATGCATTTTTAAATCGAAGTTTTCGAAATAATTGTGAAAATATTCTTTCGAAACCGACGTGTTTATCATTTTGTTGTAAAAGTGATGATAAACAACAACAACAACAACAACAACAACAACAACAACAACTAGAAATATCAAAACAATCAGATCCTAATAATCAAACAAACAACTATTATTCGAAGAAAGAAAAAAATATTATAATAGATAACAATATTCAATTGTTATCAAATGATATATTAGAAAATGACTTTTCAGATGCTGAATATGAAGCACAAGATCCTGCTGGTTTATCTAAAGTGATTATCAATAATATGAATCATAACAATGATTATTCTAGAGAACATTATGGAAACTTTTTAATTACTACTACAACTACTAATGATCGACATCTTACAACATCTCTGTAACAGAGAATTCAGCTTAATATTACTACACAATTTATTGTTTTTTTGTATACTTATATTTAGAATCGTTAATAATGTCTTTATTAAATATTCTAAGAAATTTTCATTTATTGTTTTGAACAAGAATTTCTTCATAAAAACAAATACAAATCTGTAAGATTGTATAAATGAATTTCTTTAAGAACATATTCTTCATAGAAATTAAAAGAGCTTTACAAGATTTCAAATATTAAACATCATAAAAAAAGAATGTGTCAATAAATGAGCAACAAATTTTTATTTCATACGATTAGTTACAACCGAAATTTCAACAATTAATAATTCGTTTGAGATGCTGCTGATCTTCTTCATATATGAACGACTCATTAAAACTGCGATGAATATCTTTTTTTTCAAGATATAAACCGAATACATTGAAACAAAAAGTAAAATTATAAAATTAAAAGTTCACAATTATCATTATCAGATACTGTAGAAATAATGGAAGCACATAAGAGGTCTAGTCGTCCCACTGATTTTTTCGTTACCAAGACCATTGAATAATATGTCAACAGTGTAAGTAAAGGTATGTTCAGATTTTCAAAAAAAAAAAAAAACAAGAAAATTTTAGAAATTATTAACACATGAGACGATAATTTCTGGCAGATTCCAGTAACTACCAATTAATAAGGAAAAAAATACTAAGAAAATTTTATAGGAAATTTCATTATTTGTAAGTTTTGAACATTACTGAAATTGCTAAATACTAATAATAAGCATATCAAATTATTTGATGAGAAGTATGGGGCAGATTCTTACTCCTGGATCACATGAATTTTCCAAGATTATTAAAAAATTTTCAGTTTTGAAAATGGGTTTCTTTATTTCTACAGACTTATAACTTCATTTATCCATATATATACGAAAATTGTTTTCGAAATTTGCGTAATTTTCTTAGAATTTCTTTCTTATAAAGTAATATTATATATGACATGAGCATGAAAAACTGAGTTGATCCGTGTTTGATTGAAACAATGTCTGGAACTTTTTCTTCATCGAAAAATTAGCCTCAATCCTTCTCAGATACCAGGCGAAACTCAATTCCATCAAAACAGTATTTCGAGATTATAAATAAAAAGGACCCTTGAGAGCTTTTTAAAGCCATTCGAAAGGAAAACAGCAGATATATAGAAAATAACAGTAGAATTTTCAATCAGTTCACCTTCGTCTGGCGTCTGAGAGGGTTCAGAGTTATATTTTTTGACAAAAAAAGTTTCAGAAATTCTTTCAATCACATCTAGATCAACTCAGATTTTTGTACAGATTTCGAATATGATATTGAATTCAACTCAAATTGAATATTTTCTAATAAAAGTCTTCTAAATATTGATAAAAAAAGGCATAATATTGTGTCTGGAATACAATGTGTTTTGAAATTTTTCAAATCACCGAAATATTTTTTGACTTAGAAAATAAATGATTTTGTAGCTTTTTAAAAGGGTTATCTATATGAACAATGTCAAAATTTTGGTCATTGCAATTTCTAAGTTAAAATATTTGTTGAAAGATAAAAGTATGTGAAACATACAGTAAATATGCTTATAGTGTTAACCAGTACGTCAGGTCTCTATCTCGTTCAGTGAAAAAATCAATTGCTGATTTATATTTGAAATTGAAGCCACATCAAAGATCTATCACATTCACAATTTTAGTAGTATTTTTTCTTGTCTGCTTATTCTCAAATTGCATTCAGCATGATCCAATGTATTATTAGAGAATAATAATCAAAATGACGTTACTTTTTTCATAGCTTTTAGATTTCAAAACCTCATGAAGCCATTATCAAAATGTTATTCTCAACATGCATTTTCCGTTAATATTCGACTCAATAGAGTTGGCCAAGAAAAGTACTAGAAGGTCTATTTGACTTCTTATATGTACCCATTCTTTGATAGTCTTTTCAATAAAGAAACGAAACCTATAATTATATAAATGTATATTGAATATACTAATTATCATGTAACAATTGTAATAGGAAATGTTAAGCTTATTTTTATTACTGGTTGCCTTGTAAATAGAGATGTACAAAATAAGCATATTCAAGTTCTGATTATGATCTATGAAGTTTTTTCTTGATCTTGATTCTATTCTATTCTATACAGGTGTATTTATATCTAGCAAACTATGTTTATTATGCTCTGCAGTATAATTTGTAATTGATATAAAGAAAAATATGTACATTCTCTTTACAAGATTCTTTATTTAATAAATAAATATGATAGATTATTCGCAATATCAAACATTCGTTAATTATATATAATGACTTCTTCATATAAATAGTTATTATCTAATGCTAACATCAAGATTTCAAAAATAATAGCTACATAGTTCTGAATTGATATTTTTTGCTGAATCAGTTTTTTGTTGAATTTGAAACATTTCTTCGTAGTATATGAGAAAGCAATTATGTAATTTTTTATTGATTGATACGCAAAACAATATTATTATTAGTAATTATCATCGATGGATGATTAGGTCAAAGGCATGCCTGTTACATTACATGTGTTTCCCAATATTGTGATAATGCAGTAAAATAATTTCTTTTCAGTCGAATTACTTCATCAATATTATTCTAAGTTATAGCTATTTGTAGATGATGAAATGGATAAAATTTTAACTACATATCAAATATCTTATCGTAAACTAATAATGCAGTCAAATAATCATCTACGAACTGATATGTGTAACTAATATTATTTTTCGTAGTAAAAAGATCTAGAAGATTAGATCGAAGTGACTTTTCCTAAATTATAGAATATTTTTTTCATAGTATGAGAGTAGAGTTGAATAATCTATGATGGAGTAATATACTTCTCCAAAGTTATTGTAAATAGTAGCTAATGAGATATAACAACATGGAAGAGATTTCTCTTGAATATTTAAGTATGTTTTTCTACAATAAAAAAAGGTGCAACTGAATAATCATTCATTGAATTATATACCAGTTCAATAGTGTTATAGACAATGAATAAGGCGTCAAGCCTAAATTTGATCATCAATATTTTTTTTTGGGTCAGCATTTTTTTGATCACCAAAAAGTTGAGTTTTGATCACCAAATTTTTTGACTCCGAAATGATCACCAAACAATTAGTGTTTTGATCACCAAAATTAATCAAGGCATGTATCAATTAGAGTGGAAGAGTTAACATAATGTTGAAAATGTGAACGAGAATGAGGGTGAGGGTGTGGGTGAAGGTGAGGGTGAGCGTGAGCTTCTCGATGAAGATAATATAAATGCTGTGTAAAAGAATTTAAAATTAGAATAAAATCGCTTATTCCGTTGTTAAAAATCGAATAAATCAGCCCCGTTCCAATCTAATTGTATTTCGATTTTGTCAGCTGGTTTTTTTCTCTGATTTGCAGATTTATTTTTCAAATCCATTTGATTTGTTACTGCTATTTGATCAATTTTATCGATCTTTAGTAACGAAATAATCGGTTTCAACCTGAGTTTTAAACTTTTCCTCACATCGGATACTCACAGAGACACCATGCCACTTCAATTTACTCATGTCTTAATTAACTTGGTGATCAAAACACTCATTTTTTTTGTGATCATTTCACAGATAAAAAATTTGGTGATCAAAACACATTTTTCCTTTTTTTTTTAAAGATTCATAACATCTCTTCTCAACTATTGCTGGATTTTTCTCAAAATTTGCAACTGCAAGGAGCCAAAAATGTTCGAGAAAACTGCATATGTATCTTATATACTCCTATGTGATTGTAACAAACGTCATTGAATTTTGTTGATATTCCAGGCATTGTGTGAAATAAGCCTACTGAAAAAACTTAGAACAGCAACAAAAATCAATGAATTCCTATTCACTTTTTAAATTTGTGTGTTAGTAGAAAAGCTGTTAGCACAATGTCTGCGTGATTAAAATGTGAAATACACGATGGAGTTATTTAGAACATAAATGGTGAAAACGAGATACAATATTAAGAAATGATTGATATAATATAGATATACGTGAACAAGAACATTGAAGAGAATCAAAATAATCTTTTGATAAATATTGATAAATAGAAAGTGATGATTTTATTATTTGAATAGTGATTGATTTTGGTATGAAAATAGAAGCACACAAAATATTTTATATAATATCGCTATAAGAAAAAATAAATGAAGTCGATTAATCATATGTTGTTCAGTATGAATGATGAATATCTTTTGTATAATTGTTATAAGTTCAATAAAGAAAATATTATTGATTATCTTTTCAATATATCGAAAAATGAATAAAATAAGTAGTTTTAATCCAAAAGATAAATCACCAAAAATTATCAAGAATAGTTGTAAGAATTAAGAATATATCATTACGACTAATATATTCATATTCACATGATAAAACATTGGATGATCAGGAATCAATCATAAGTCTATTGATTATTGATTCGATAGTTTCACTAGATGCATTAAAATTTTCATTTAAATTCGAAAAATTAAAACACAATCCAAGAGAATTAACCATATATTTGTCTATTTCAAGCATATATGACCGATTGTAAAAACATTCTGAAGTTAATTTGAGCAATGCTGCTATAGGAAAACAACCAGCAAAAAAGTTTGGAACGACGAAATGTGTTGTTTTAGTCTTCATACTGTGAAGTTGTTACAGGGACCTCTCTGTAATCAAGTTTGTGGATCAACAAAAGTTGATTTCTGAATCAATTATTATTTTTATTTTTAAATTTGATCTCCTTTTATATTCTCGAACTATTTTCATAGGCCCACGATCGAGCATCTCCCTCTGGTTTTAATGTAAACAAAGAAAATGACGTCATTATCTCTTTTTATAATTGCGTAATAAAAAGAGAAAAGTAGAACAAAAAATCATATGAGAATTTCAATAATTGTCATTGACGAACAAGAAAACGTCTTGGATATACAAGATGACAATCAACAAGAAAGAAAAAAAAAGAAAAGGAGAAAGGTGATAGAGAGAAACACGCACAACGG